ACTACCTACTACTACCTACTACTACCTACTACTACCTACTACTACCTACTACTACCTACTACTACCTACTACTACCTACTACTACCTACTAATACCTACTACTACCTACTACTACCTACTACTACCTACTACTACCTACTACTACCTACTACTACCTACTACTACCTACTACTACCTACTACTACCTACTACTACCTACTACCTACTACCTACTACCCACTACCTACTACCTACTACCTACTAGCTACTACCTACTAGCTACTACCTCCTACCTACTACCTCCTACCTACTAGCTACTACCTACTAGCTACTACCTCCTACCTACTACCTCCTACCTACTACCTACTACCTACTACCTACTACCTACTACCCACTACCTACTACCCACTACCTACTACCCACTACCTACTACCTACTACCTACTACCTACTACCTACTACCTACTATATACTATATATCTACTACCTACTACCTACTACCTACTACCTACTACCTACTACCTACTACGACGACTACCACTACCTACTACCTACTACCTACTACCTACTACCTACTACCTACTACCTACTACCTACTACCTACTATATACTATATACCTACTACCTACTACCTACTACCTACTATATACTAAATACTATTTACCTACTACCTACTACCTACTACCTACTACCTACTACCTACTACCTACTACCTACTACCTACTACCTACTACCCACTACCTACTACCTACTACCTACTACCCACTACCCACTACCCACTACCGACTACCTACTACCCACTACCTACTATATACTACCTACTATATACTATATACTATTTACCTACTACCTACTACCTACTACCTACTACCTACTACGTACTACCTACTACCTACTACCTACTACCTACTACCTACTACCTACTACCTACTACCTACTACCTACTACCTACTACCTACTACCTACTACCTACTACCTACTACCTACTACCTACTACCTACTACCTATACCTACTACCACTACCTACTACCACTACCTACTACCACTACCTACTACCACTACCTACTACCACTACCTACTACCACTACCTACTACCACTACCTACTACTACTACCTACTACTACTACCTACTACTACTACCTACTACTACTACCTACTACTACTACCTACTACTACTACCTACTACTACTACCTACTACTCCTACCTACTACTACTACCTACTACTACTACCTACTACTACTACCTACTACTACTACCTACTACTACTACCTACTACTACTACCTACTACTACTACCTACCACTACTACCTACTACTACTACCTACTACTACTACCTACTACTACTACCTACTACTACTACCTACTACTACTACCTACTACTACTACCTACTACTACTACCTACTACTACTACCTACTACTACTACTTATACTACTACTAACTACTACTACTACTACTACTACTACTACTACTACTACTACTACTACTACTACTACTACTACTACTACTACTACTACTACTACTACTTACTACTACTACTACTACTACTACTACTACTACTACTACTACTACTACTACTACTTACTACTACTACTTTACTACTTACTACTACTACTTACTACTACTACTACTTACTACTACTACTTACTACTACTACTTACTACTACTACTACTACTACTACTGCTACTGCTTACTACTACTACTACTACTACTACTTACTACTAACTACTACTACTACTACTACTATTACTACTTACTACTTACTACTTACTACTTACTACTTACTTCTTACTTCTTACTTCTTACTACTTACTACTTACTACTTACTACTTACTACTTACTACTTACTACTTACTACTTACTACTTACTACTTACTACTACTACTTACTACTACTACTACTACCACTACTACTACTACTACTACTTACTACCACCTACTACTACCTACTACTACCCCTAACACTACTACTACCACCTCTACTACTACTACTACTACTACTACTACTACTACTACTACTACTACTACTACTACTACTACTACTACTAACTACCACCTACTACTACCTACTACTACCCCTAACACTACTACTACCCCTAACACTACTACTACCACCTCTACTACTACTACTACTACTACTACTACTACTACTACTCCTACTCCTACTACTACTACTACTACTCCTACTACTACTACTACTACTACTACTACTACTACTACTACTACTACTACTACTACTTACTACCACCTACTACTACCTACTACTACCCCTAACACTACTACTACCACCTCTACTACTACTACTACTACTCCTACTACTACTACTACTACTACTCCTACTCCTACTCCTACTCCTACTCCTACCCCTACTCCTACTCCTACTCCTACTCCTACTCCTCCTACTCCTCCTACTACTCCTACTACTCCTACTACTCCTACTACTCCTACTACTCCTACTACTCCTACTACTCCTACTACTCCTACTGCTACTACTACTACTACTGCTACTACTACTACTACTACTCCTACTACTCCTACTACTACTACTACTGCTACTACTACTCCTACTACTACTACTCCTACTACTCCTACTACTCCTACTACTCCTACTCCTCCTATTCCTCCTACTCCTACTACTCCTACTACTCCTACTACTCCTACTACTCCTAGTACTCCTACTACTCCTACTACTCCTACTCCTCCTACTCCTCCTACTCCTACTACTCCTACTACTCCTACTCCTACTCCTACTCCTACTGCTACTACTACTACTACTATTACTACTACTACTACAACTACTACTCTTCTACTACTACGACTACTACTACTACTACTCCTACTACTCCTACTACTCCTACTACTCCTACTACTCCTACTCCTCCTATTCCTCCTACTCCTCCTACTCCTACTACTCCTACTACTCCTACTACTCCTACTACTACTACTCCTACTACTCCTACTACTCCTACTACCCCTACTACTCCTACTACTCCTACTACTCCTACTACTCCTACTACTACTCCTACTACTCCTACTACTCCTACTACTCCTACTCCTACTACTCCTGCTACTCCTACTACTCCTACTGCTCCTACTCTACTACTACCTACTACTACTACTACTACTACTACTACTACTACTACTACTACCTACTACTACTACGACTACTACTACTACGACTACTACTACGACTACTACTACTCCTACCTACTACTCCTACTACTACTACTACTACTACCACTACCACTACCACTACCACTACTACTACTACTACTACCACCACTCCGACTACTCCTACTACTCCTACTACTCCTACTACTCCTACTACTCCTCCTCCTGCTGCTGCTGCTGCGGCTGCTGCTGCTACTGCTACTGCTACAGCTACTGCTACAGCTACTAAAGCTACAGCCACAACCACAACTACAACGTTACAACTACAACAACATCAAGTACAGCCACAGCTACAACTACACTACAATACAACTACAACTAACACAACAACACAACTACAGCTAGAACTACTACAGCAACTACAACTACTACAGCCGCAACTACGACATTACAACTACAACTACAACAACATCAACTACAGCTACAACTACAACTACACTAGAACACCACTGCAACTGCAACTGCAGCTACAATTACATTGCACTACACTACGCCACACTAGATCCAGCAGTTGTGGGTGAGGTGACCACTGCAACCATTCCAAAAAGCACAACTCCAACCACCTTTCGGTCCATCAGTGGATTCGCTCTGCCATCCATGCATCGCAGCAACTAGCCTCTCCAATAGGTTGCCTATCTTTGAAACTTCCGCCACCTCCTTGTGCGGTACTACTGGTATGTATAAACCAACAAGCGACATAATTGATATGGCCATACTGCCATTTCAGCCTTGTATGATGCAGTCGGTGCCCCAGGCGGGGATGAACTAAGCAGTGGGGCCTCTACTTGGGGTTGCAGTTGGGATGATTAGTGTAATGGGTGAATAACCCCCCTAAGTTGGGAAATAACCCCTACAATGTACAACTCTGTTTATATATCCACTTTTTAACTGGAACTGCACTCCCGAGTTGTAGTGAGGAAGCGATGTCTTACAAGTTTCAAGTTGTTGCGCAGTAATTACCTAGAAAGCAGCAGTAGACGCTACACTCATGTCCTGCAAGGAATGTAATCTCTGACCCTATAACCTCGGTCAGGCCAGGGTTGGGGGAATTAAATCGAAGAAATGAAAAAGTGATGGTGCAAACCGTCATAAAAGCCCGAAAGGGAAGTAGAACTCCATACTCTCAAGGTACCTGTTACACAGCTGAAGTGCATGTACACCCTGATGACAGCTTGTTGCACCTGCGATGATTTCGAGCGTGGCTGCACAGGCGGCGCCTGTCCACAACTCGTTGTTGCATCCAGAAACAGCTTTATGCTTGCAGACTGGAAACCCCGTTCAATCCTCAATGCCGGAGAGGCACCAGGTAGGATATAGATGATACTTACCGATAGGAGTGGGACTAATGTGAGACATGGACGTGGAAACCTCCTTAGTCTTCAATGCACCATGAAATAAGGCGGACCAAGAACAAGGACCCAGTGCACCTCCAGCACATCCTGCTCATCAGTAGTCTTTGAGCGTGGCTGCACCATCGGAGGGGCCTCCGGCGCACGTGCGTGCATGTGCAAATGGAAGGTGTCATAGGGTCATAGGAGCTAAAGTCGTGGAAAGGATATCTCTCTCGTAGTCACTCGTAGATGCGGTCTGCCATTGTACCGATAGCATGATTTCCCTCCTCCTTTCTACAAGGCACCAGACTCTGCAAGAGACTGCACAACAGACTCTGCAACCTTCATTTTACACACAGACTTCGTGACAATGCCAATCTTTCATCAAATCTGGAGCCTTCTCTCTTCCTTTTTTCTTTGGCTAACTGGGGACAACCCCTTTAAAGCTTTGGAATTTCTACAATCCAGTGCTCTACATAATTTCTCATTGAGTCATGAGTGCAGTCAGCTAGTCAGCTAGTCACATGGCCTCATCCTCTGATTCGCTGAAGTCAACCTTTATTGGACTTCTGGCCTTCACACGAAGACCAAAGCATGTCAATCACATTCCTGCTTCAGTTCATGCAAGATCATGGCATGTGAGCCATTTCAGTTTCATGTGATTCTGCAGCTCAAATTGAACTGGACCCTGTGCTATTGTCTGCTTTGGAAGGCAAAAATGAATAAATACCTGTGTCTGACAACCGATGGGAATCAGCATAGTTTGTTCCCACTGAAAGCTTCCGAATCCAGTGTTCGCCCTTGAACCACCCCTTGTACCTCTACAGACTTGGCCGGCGGTAATCTCATCTCATCCGGGCTACACTGGGCCTTCAAAAAATATCGCAACAGCATGTACAGTGCTTTGTGCCATGCTGCCACGCTGTTGACAATGCGAAAACTGGAAAAAATATTGAGCGCATCAAACGAAAGTGGCCTGGTAAGACTGCGTATGCGGTTGAACGCTTGATGCCTCTGCTCAAACGGAATTCCTTACCCTTAAGGTACCTTTGACACAGCTGCAGTGCATGTGCATGACAAGACTCTAATGATAACACTCTGATGACAGCTTGTTGCACCTGCGATGATTTCGAGCGTGGCTGCACAGGCGGCGCCTGTCCACAACTCGTTGTTGCATCCAGAAACAGCTTTGTGCTTGCAGACTGGAAACCCCGTTCAATCTTCAATGCCGGAGAGGCACCAGGTAGGATAGATGATACTTACCGATAGGAGTGGGACTAATGTGAGACATGGACGTGGAAACCTCCTTAGTCTTCAATGCACCATGAAATAAGGTGGACCAAGAACAAGGACCCAGTGCACCTCCAGCACAGCCTGCTCAGCAGTCGTCTTTGAGCGTGGCTGCACCATCGGAGGGGCCTCCGGCGCACGTGCTTGCATGTGCAAATAGAAGGTGTCATAGGCTAAATTCAAGAGGTCGCTGTTGCCAGTTTTGAAGGGTTTTAGGGCGAAGTGTACGAGGGGGGGCGTACGTGGATACGAACGTGCGAGCGGGGGGTCGAACGGGGTGGTGAACGGGGGGCGAACGAGGGGGTGAAAGGAGGGGCGTGCGAGGGGCGTGCGGGGGGCCATGTGGGTGCTTGGGTTGGGACACGGTGTTTGTTCCGTTGAGGTTTGTTGGTAGTTTCAACAAATTCTTCTGATTTTGATTTTTGTACCGATATAGTTATAGTCAATCTGAACTGAATGTAATTTTGGATATTGGAGTTGGGACACAGTGTTTGTTCCGCTGAGGTTGTTGGTAGTTTCAACATATGCTTTTGATTTTAATTTTCGTATCGCTATAGTCAACCTGAAATGAATATATAGTATTTTGTGATAAGATGTGATAAGTAACTTGCAACTTTAACAAACGACCTTGTGCAAACCCTGATCCCAATTATGCTCATATATATATAGGATGTGTCTGCATGGGCGCACATGTTCCTGTCATCCATGATCTCAGTCAAGAAGTCTTCAAGTTCAAGCCGTCGAACACGCGCGCGTGCCCCCATGCTCACACTCCACACACACCCCCTCGTGCAACATTTTGCGCACCGCCAGGAGGCAGGAGGAGGCAGGAGAAGGCAGGAAGAGGCAGGAGGAGGCAGTAGGAGGCAGGAGCAGGCAGCATCGTGCGCCGCCACCTTCGCACGTCCGCCCCCTCGTCCACCCCCTTGGGCGCCCCCCTCGCGCGCCCCCACGTTCGCCCGCTCGCCTCCTTGTTCGCCCCCTCGTGCGCCCCCACGTTCGCACGCTCGTGCGCACGCTCGCCCCCACGTTCACCCCCACCCCCACGCGCACCACGTACAAAAATAGAGCCAAGGGGGGGTCGTACAGAAATAAGGCCACATTTATGTGGCTCTATTTCTGTACGTGGGGGGTGCGCGTGGGGGTGAACGTGGGGGTGGACGTAGGGGCGCGCGCGCGCGCGCACGCGCGTGCGAACATGCGGGCGCACGAGGGGGCGAGCGGGCGAACGTGAGGGCGCGCGAGGGGGGGGCTTTTGCGCGCGCGCGCGCGTGTGTGTGTGTGTGCGTGTGTGTGTAGACATGTGTGTATTTATGTGAATGCCTACTCAGTCGTAAGCACGTGTGCATCCCTAATCTGTCAGTGGAAGCTTCGCGGATGCCTCGCGGAAGCCTCGAGGAAGGTAGCAAGGAATAACTCTGTGGAAACCATGTGGGCAAGCTAATCTGGAAGCATTGACATTGTCATTGTGTTTATATCAACTTTGACAAAATGCTACGGTGAGTTCTGTTTAGACTGTTTAGACTGTTTCGATCTCATGTCAGCTCTTTTTGGTTGAAGCCGACCTGATGACTCCATTGGCGATATATATGAATTTCTGAACAGAAGCATTTTGCTGCAAGTTCGAGGGCATAGGATTCAGGATTGCAAAAACCATTGGCCAATGGAAATCACACATTCCTACTAATGAAATGAATCACATATATATATAATATATATAGTATAATATATATATAATATATATATAATATATAATATATATAATATAATATATATATATATAATATATATAATATAATATATATATCATATTAAGTTACTCATTAACTTACAATGTATGCTCCTTTAGCCATAGTCATAGTAGGGACAACAATTTCATCATTATCATTTATCATATTATATTCACCTTCCTCTGCGCCCGCCCTCCTGCGCCCCCCTCGCGCGCCCTTCGTGCGCCCCCTCGTCTGCGCCCCTCGTGCGCCCCTCGTGCGCCCCCTCGTTCGACCCCACGTTCGCCCGCCCGTTGCCCCCCGTTCGCCCCCTCGCACCCCCCTCGTTCACATTTCAACTTCACCCCCGCAGCGAGTTATTGTGCTATTGTCTGCTTTGGAAGGCAAAAATGAATAAATACCTGGGTCTGACAACCGATGGGAATCAGCATAGTTTGTTCCCACTGAAAGCTTCCGAATCCAATGTTCGCCCTTGAACCACCCCTTGTACCTCTACAGACTTGGCCGACGGTAATCTCATCTCATCCGGGCTACACTGGGCCTTCAAAAAATATCGCAACAGCATGTACAGTGCTTTGTGCCATGCTGCCACGCTGTTGACAATGCGAAAACTGGAAAAAATATTGAGCGCATCAAACGAAAGTGGCCTGGTAAGACTGCGTATGCGGTTGAACGCTTGATGCCTCTGCTCAAACGGAATTCCTTACCCTTAAGGTACCTTTGACACAGCTGCAGTGCATGTGCATGACAAGACTCTAATGATAACACTCTGATGACAGCTTGTTGCACCTGCGATGATTTCGAGCGTGGCTGCACAGGCGGCGCCTGTCCACAACTCGTTGTTGCATCCAGAAACAGCTTTGTGCTTGCAGACTGGAAACCCCGTTCAATCTTCAATGCCGGAGAGGCACCAGGTAGGATAGATGATACTTACCGATAGGAGTGGGACTAATGTGAGACATGGACGTGGAAACCTCCTTAGTCTTCAATGCACCATGAAATAAGGTGGACCAAGAACAAGGACCCAGTGCACCTCCAGCACAGCCTGCTCAGCAGTCATCTTTGAGCGTGGCTGCACCATCGGAGGGGCCTCCGGCGCACGTGCTTGCATGTGCAAATAGAAGGTGTCATAGGGTCATAGGAGCTAAAGTCGTGGAAAGGATATCTCTCTCGTAGTCACTCGTAGTTGCGGTCTGCCATTGTACCGATAGCATGATTTCCCTGCTCCTTTCTACAAGGCACCAGACTCTGCAAGAGACTGCACAACAGACTCTGCAACCTTCATTTTACACACAGACTTCGTGACAATGCCAATTTTTCATCAAATCTGGAGCCTTCTCTCTTCCTTTTTGCTTTGGCTAACTGCGGACAACCCCTTTAAAGCTTTGGAATTTCTACAATCCAGTGCTCTACATAATTTCTCATTGAGTCATGCGTGCAGTCAGCTAGTCAGCTAGTCACATGGCCTCATCCTCTGATTCGCTGAAGTCAACCTTTATTGGACTTCTGGCCTTCACACGAAGACCAAAGCATGTCAATCACATTCCTGCTTCAGTTCATGCAAGATCATGGCATGTGAGCCATTTCGGTTTCATGTGATTCTGCAGCTCAAATTGAACTGGACCCTGTGCTATTGTCTGCTTTGGAAGGCAAAAATGAATAAATACCTGGGTCTAACAACCGATGGGAATCAGCATACAGTCGAGGGCTGAAGTCAGAGCAATTTTCTTGAATGTGGACAAACCGCTTGCGGAAAAGTCGCCATGACCGGGTCACAGCAGGGTCACAGCAATCCATCAAAACACAAGGGGATTGCCTCCATTTGAAGGATACAAAGTACCATTATAACAAACACGAGAGAGCCCACCCCTCGCACTGCAGACTACTCTTCTGCCAGCACTGCTTTGCATTACAAACAATCATTCTGCCACAATGGTTTGATTTGAGAAGGTGTAAAACTGAGTGAACGAAGGAACAATGAAAAGAAAAGAAGTAACAGTCTGTGAGAAAGAAAGAGAAGAAGATAAAAAAAGGAACAAACAAAGAACACTAATGAAAACAAGTGCTGAAAATACAACCGAACGACCCCCCGAACGACCCCCGAACGACCCCCCGAACGACCCCTGATTCATGAGTTGTCAATCGCAGGGAAGAATCACCATGGCACATCAGGGAAGAAGAATCACCATGGCACAGCCTCTTTCATCTATAATTAGAGATTTAGTTAAAAGTAGCCGAAGCAGCAGGCAAGCAGCAGCAACAGCAAGCATCAGGCAAGCAGCAGCAGGCAAGCAGCAGCAGGCAAGCAGCAGCAAGCAAGCAGCAACCAGCGTTTGCCCCCTTGAAAGAATGAACAAATATAAGCTTTAAAAATCAACGCGATACTAAAAATTGAACTTTTCCCAGGCGAACGGCCCTAAAACAATGAAATCGTTCAATTACTAAAAGTTGTGATGATGCGAAACTTGAACTTTTTCCAGGCGCACGGCCTCCCGATACG